AAAATGTGTATTATTTTGTATTTTATAGGCTGTCCTGGCATAAAATGTGTATTATTTTGTATTTTTATAGGCTGTCCTGGCATAAAATGTGTATTATTTTGTATTTTAAAAGGCTGTTCTGGTGTTAAATGTGTATTATTTTGTATTTTTATAGGCTGATCTGGTGTTAAATGTGTATTATTTTGTATTTTTATAGGCAGTCCTGGCATAAAATGTGTATTATTTTGTATTTTTATAGGCTGTTCTGGTGTAAAAATGTGTATTATTTTGTATTTTTATAGGCTGTCCTGGTGTTAAATGTGTATTATTTTGTATTTTTATAGGCCGTTCTGGTGTAAAATGTGTGTATTATTTTGTTTTTTCATAGGCTGTTCTGGTGTAAAATGTGTGTATTATTTTGTTTTTTCATAGGCTGTTCTGGTGTTAAATGTGTATTATTTTGTATTTTTATAGGCCGTTCTGGTGTAAAATGTGTGTATTATTTTGTTTTTCATAGGCTGTTCTGGTGTAAAATATGTGTATTATTTGTTTTTCATAGGCTGTTCTGGTGTAAAATGTGTATTAATTTGTATTTTTATACAGTACTTTTGGCCATAATCCCATTATTATCTTAGGAGGTTCAGCTAGCTTAAATGATTTAGGTTAGTCCTAAATTCATATACTAAGCTAAAAATCCTCATAATACATATATATGTACAATAAAATAATGCAAAATAATTATTATTATATATATTAAGCAATTTAACCAATACTGTTCTAATAATGAAAATAAGGAATAGAATATGAGAAACAAAATAACTAGAAAACACCATATGTGTTTTATGTATTTAGATGCATATGTAAATACGTGTAGGTCTATATCACACAAAAACTTCACTTACTCATCAGTTGTGCACTTTTACAACACGTTACAATTCTCAAAAACTTTTCCAATATCAAGGACTTGATTTAAGTAAGTCTATTTTAACTATAAGTATCACAAAACGTAGGTGGTATTTGTTTCTGTCTGTTTTAGCACCAAACTACAGACTAGACTATCTACACTCTATCCACCCTAGAACTTAGCACTGTAGGTCCATAAGGTGCCTGCTGACTCACCAGGGACATTTGTTTCTATAACTGGGATTCTTTTAATACTCTTGTAACAACAAGCGGGAATTCTATCTCTTTTGCTGTTCAGTACAACTGCCAGAAACGTAATTTCATATGTAATTAAAAAATTTTGATGGTATAGAACCCTTATCAATACAAAAATAGAATGAATTTTTTTTTTTTGTAAATTATTGTGTTATTAGTTTTACTCGGTTAATTAGCAAAATGCTTCAAGTTGTCAGTTGTGCTTACTTACACCCTAATGGAACCATCAGGGCATCAAAACTGAACCTTCAATACATACTTACAGAAGTTGAAATGGATTTCTTTTACCTTTGGTCTGATTAAATATAATCTTAGAAGCTGATATCTATATAGAGTGAAGGATAATCGTTCTTTGTCTAAGCAGTATCTGGTTATAATTTATAATAATAGCCAGAAAATGTATGACTGATGATGGTGGACATAGTTTGAAAGGCAGCATGTGGACTGGAACATTACTTTTGTAAAATGTGATTAACCTTGTGAATACTTGTATTAGACTTGAAATTTTTAATATGAAATATACCTAAACAGACCCTTCAATACATCCAAGTAAAACCCATTACACTTGAAACCTTCCGTACATCCAAGTAAAACCCATTACACTTGAAACCTTCAGTTCATCTCAGTAAAACCCATTACACTTGAAACCTTCAGTACATCTCAGTAAAACCCATTACATGTGAAACCTTCGATACATCCAAGTAAAACCCATTACACATGAAACCTTTGATACATCCAAGTAAAACCCATTACACTTGAAACCTTCAGTACATCTCAGTAAAACCCATTACACTTGAAACCTTCGATACATCCAAGTAAAACCCATTACACTTGAAACCTTCGATACATCTCAGTAAAACCCATTACACTTGAAACCTTCAGTACATCTCAGTAAAACCCATTACACTTGAAACCTTCAGTACATCTCAGTAAAACCCATTACACTTGAAACCTTCAGTACATCTCAGTAAAACCCATTACACTTGAAACCTTCAGTACATCTCAGT